GAGAACCGGCGGGTCCCTGCGGACCTTGGGAGAGCGCCGGTTCGGGGTGAGTCCGCACGTCTGCCAGACGAGCTAGGACCTCCGGGGATAGAGCTTCCTGACGAAGCGTCCGGGTCTCGGGGAGACCGCCTCAGAGGCGAAGCTCGAGTCGAGCTCGCGGTCTCACGGTGTGTCGCGTGTGATGTCGAGGGTTCCGTCATGGTAGGTGCCTAACACACAATACAATCTAGAAACCCACGTATTCGTGGTATGGAGTGTAAAAAAGTGTAATGATACGGGTGTCGCCTGATTCACACAAGTCCAAAGTACACTGAACCAATCTCTAGATTGAGAGGGCGTATGCTATGGTGGACGTGGTGAAAGGCTGAGAAGCCTTCGCCACGTCGCGCGGATCCAGATGGATCAGCGCCGATCACCATGACGATCCAGATTTAGATACAAGATGTAGATTAACTATGTAGATAAGATAAGATAATGAACGATCCGTTACATATATGGTTCCGTTATACAAAAGACCCGACGTACCGAATGGGTAGAATCAAGGTCTGAGATTGGATTTCGAACTGTCGCGGAGGTGACAAGGTCTGACCGCGCTTCTGTGAAGTCCGGATTAACGAAAACGGCGAACTGAGTTGAATGGCATACCTGACGCTTCATTACGGAGACCACCCAGAGCTAGAGCAGTACTAGACAGCCTGAGCAAGTACAGCATAGAACCACTCTAAAGCAGAACATCCTGACCTGGAGTACAAGCGAAGTCCTTCGTCCTCTAATACAATGCCACGTTCCGCATTCACGCTACCCGATTCGATCGATCACACGCAAGCTTGCTGCATGCAAATGCCGAATTGAAGCGAAACGGGGGGCGTTGAAATGACCTAGATCACGCCGCTCTCTACGGCGATCCTATGTGTTCCCAGATGTCTACTGCGGCCCGCCCTCCAAAGCCTTCTCGAGGAATTGCTTCATGCACCCGGCCCGAGGCATCCTTGTCCTCATCTCCGTCAGAGCCATCCGAGGGATTCTCGTAAGAGGATGACAGGGGTACCTCTGTCAGAATCACTAGACGTTGCCGGTGACCTCAGTGCTCGTTCTAGCCGCACTGAAGGTATGGAAGCAGTGAGTAAGAAGCGAGATGGCGGCGCGTGAAGTAGTGGGACACCCACAGAAGATGGATTGCCACCGGCGAGAAACCTCGAGCCTAGCTGCGATGACCGTTCGTATGATAAGAAGAAGTTGGACCTTGTGCTCGTATGTAGATGACCAGGATGAACCGAATTCAAACCAAAAATAACCGTGCCAAAACTCCTCCGAGATCAGTATCTCTTGGCCGGGAAGAAAACGCCGGTGCACGTTCGTCAAGTAGGATAGTGTATCAATAGACATGTGGTCTGCGCGGTTAAGGTTAAGCTTTGAGAACAACTAAGATATCACCGCGCCGACCACACTCACAGGTATGGTCCAATTTTAGCAATCTTGCTGCAGAAAGGGTATGGAGCATGCGGTCGAAAAAGGGTCCTTTATGGAGTGTTCTCAACGCAATTTCCGTGGGTGGAAGAAGGATCTGCCCATGACCATACCCAAGCGCCGGCGTGAATATAATAGTCGGTGGCGAAGATACTGCGCACATAGGGCCGCGAGGACCGCTTGATGAATCGTCTTGTAAGAGCGACGCTTCTATCACTAGCAATGTGCATGATGCGCCTTGGGACCGCCACAAGTAATAGGACAGGTACCGAACGACCCCAAAGCCATACGTCCTACCCTGCATCAAATCACAAGAATGTCGGAGAAGCAGGAACGTACACTTAGGGCCGTGTCAACCTACATTTGATAGGCTGCACAAGGTATATAGTATCACGATAGAACATGCATGTGTCGGAGGGATTCTAGCCCTTCCGATCATACATGTTCCATCGTAGACGGCTCGCACAAGACGTGCTTAAAGCGGCAGTGACGCTGTAAGGAAGGCGACACCCCACTATAGTAGGTTCGTGCATGAAAGACCGCCTCCACTCCACGTGACGTACGCGCAAGCGACGTGGTTGCACGTAACCCAGCGTGAGTATAAGGCTGCAGATGATACTCAGCCGAAGCCGTCCGAGTCACGGATGGGCAACATCGTCCCAATTGTGAAAGGCGACGCCGTGACGCACCTGGCGAGGTCAAAGCGGCCTACTCCGGATACGCACAGCCGAAAGACAATGCAGGGCACCCGTCCCCCTGTTCTGTAGCGCAGGATAACGCAAGGACGATGAACTTCGTGTATCGCCCCAAGGAGTACTCTCCCGCGGAGTTATCACCGTATTCTCCCGTTCATCAACTGATCGCGTGCTCTCAAAGTTGTCGATGCGGCTGTCTTCGTACGTCTCGTGCATTCTGACTATCATCGGCGCAGACCACCTCCTAGTCGAATAACGCAATCTTCACCAGTGAATCCAGACCTTGCGCAACGACCGGTATGACGTCCTGAGAGTCGAAGGGGGGCATCAAGAAGGTCGATTTAATTAGGCCGTCGCTCGTTCTTCTCGTCGTTTCCAATCCGGCCTACGTGCTATCTGCTGGATCTGACTCCCAAATGCGCCGGAGAACATATGTTGTGATCGTGTCGACCGGTCTCAAGAACGCCAGTGGAGGTCAGGGTTGGGATGCGAATAAGATCAAACAAGTAGTGTCAGTATGGCGGTAGTACAACATGTAGACGCGCCTATCGCGCCGGCTGCGATGAAGACGCACAGAGTCTTTAACAGACTAGTACTTGTATGCGCATGACATGCTCTTGCAGCATATTAGGAGGATTTAGTAGAGAAAGATGGTGGACAATAGATATTACAGTCGTTTGCATATCAAACTGCAGTGTCTCGCGCACGTCGAGCCTATTTGCACGTATTTGCTCCACCGTCGGGTACCGGCTAGGACGGCCACTCCGGGGAGTGCACCCTTGGTGACAACGGATGAACTCCCTCAAAAATGTCGTAGCTGGTGGATGCTGCAGATAATATGTCCCACAGCATTGCCTGGTTGGTTTTCAAGGCAGAAAGTGCTTGTTGTACTGTAGTTGATGGCCACAGGTGGGTTGAGGGAGGCCGGTCCCAAACAGGCAGGAAGACGCTCGCTCATGGAGGTACAAACACGAGCAAATAGCCCCGCGGCGCGCGCGTACACTGCAGCTTGATATGCAAACGACTGTATTGTTGCACTCATCGGTGCCGAGCTCAGTTGGATCTCGTTCAATCGCTGAACGAAGTTGGTACTAAGTATTAGACCTCCGATAATGCGACAATATCAATCTACGACAATGTGCCATCGGTTTGCGAGCGAGTATAGTATACTTTGTATTGCAGTATCGTGAGTATGAACTGACAAGTAACGAATACCAGGCGCCCTCACGCAAAGCACCGACTCTCCTGAACCACGGCATCCGACAAGAATCGACTAAGCTAATAACGTACTCACACGGCAGATAGGGCATGGCAAACATGGTGCTATTGCGTACCTGACGCAGTCCATAAGCTGACCATAAGGCCAGATATCATCTTTCATGCTCGGAGAACGTTGCCGAGTCGGCGCCCAGAAACCGACCCATCGTCCGCTCCAGACCAGAGCGTCTCCCCATCGGGAGAGAAAACCACATGGCGCACCGGTGCGCCCTCGTGCTCCCAAAGTCTCCTCACCAACGAACCGTCCTCCACCTTGAATAACCGCACTGTGTGGTCCCACGACGTCGTCGCAACGTACCGACCGTCGGGAGAAAACCTCGCTGCGTGAACCCAGTTGAAGTGCTTGAACGACAGCGTGCATTCCCCTCCAGAGACGGGCCAGATCTTCGCCTTCTTGTCTTCCGAGGCAGAAAGCACGAATTTCCCGTCAGGGGAGAACGCAACGTCCAGGATCGGTCCCGAGTGACCGCGCAGGACGGTGATGAGAGCCCCGCCCTCGGTGTCCCAGATGCGGACGGTATGATCCATAGACGCAGTTGCGAGTCGGGTGCCTGTAGGATCGAGCGCGGCGGTGGTGACAGGTGCAGTGTGTCCTTGAAGAACTTTGCGTTGTCTGCCTGAGGCGAGGTCCCAGAGACAGCAGTGCTGGGGAAAACCAGGCCTCGTGGACAACAGCCATCGGCCGTGGAAGAAGAGAAGGTGCTTTCCTCCAGGTCCTGTGCCGCTTGCGCTCCGCCCAAGCCTGAGTACGCGGGCTTCCTGGAGTGTGGAACCATGCAGGATGCGAATAGTTGCGTCGGCGCAGTCGACTGCGAGATGTGCGTCGTCGTGGGACCATGCGCAGCCATGGATAGATGTGCCCTCTACCTCCAGCGAGGAGTTCGATCGGCTGACCAGACCCTGGTCGTCTATTCGCCATATCGCAAGCTCGCTATCTCCGGCCGCAGCAAGGCGTCGACCATTGTGAGAGAAGGCGAGGGAAACGGACCCTTGACCGTGACGCTTCCCAGAAGCTGTCCATTCTCGAGATGGTATCTGTTGGACGACATCCCAGAGAATGATCTTCCCGTCGTGCGCGGCACTAGCGATCCACTTGCTGTCAGACGAGGCGACTAGCGCTTGCACAGCACCGTCATGACTCGGTCTTGTGCGCGTGATATCTGCTGTTGCTGTAGACGCAGCCGGTCAATGGTAATGAAAACCTCTGTTTATCAACAACTTACTCGACGGTAACTCGACCTTGACCTGTCCCAGTGGCCACAAGGTCGGGAAGCAGTCCCTGAGCTTTGAATTCTTCAGGTCCTCTTTGAAGGACCTCGATTGCCTGCCGCCCCCAGCAAGCGAGAACTTCAGCGCATGTCGCGGGAACGCGAGCAGCACCTGCTCCAGCTGCTTGCAGGCTTCAAGGGTGCCTTCCTGCGCCAAAATAGCAGCAAGGGCCGAGAACGAGGATCCATAGCAATGGACACGTAGCTCTTGTAACCGTACGGTCCCTGCGTCAGAGAGGAGCTTGAAGAAGGAGGCGATACGCGAGATCGCCTGTGTGAAGGCCAACTTGCGGCCCTCAACGGGCATAGACAGCGTAAGCGTGTCCAGCTTGGACAGCTGTCCACCGAGAGCTAACAGTTGCACTGTACAGTTGGTGAACGGCAAGAGACAATGACGGAGTGAAGGCTTGCTAGAGCCAAGCATGAGCTGACACGTACTGCTATCGGCTTGTTCTCGGGTGACGTGCAGAGCAAGTTCTTGCAGAGAGCACTTGCTGATCTCCAGGAGTGCGACGACGGCCGCCTCCGAGACGTCGCGGCGAATCTGAGCTTGATCAGCGAGGGCGCAAGAGAACACGACTCGAAGCCAGTTTCAAAGAGCTCACAAACAAACGCGCCAGACGGCATTGCGGAGCGGACCGCTGGTAAGTCGCCGCCAGCGCAGTAGCTGTCCCATGTCCCTTGACGTTGATCTCTTCGCACACAAGAGTGTGCAGACCAGAGAACGCAGAGACAAACCGTACGAGGTCGGCGCACCCTGAAAAAGACAAGGTGTTGATAGATAGGTGTCCGATCCTTGCGGCGTATTTGTGGAGGCTGGCTATGGTGGATTGGCTCAGCGATAGCCAGTGCTGTCCTTTGAAGTCGAGGGCATGGTTCGTGACCTTCCAACGGCGTAGGTTGGGAAGACGAGTGAGCAGGGGAACGGGGACCCTCTCAAAAATCGTGAAGGAGTGCAGCTCGTCGTCGGTGGTCGAGATGGTGACGCATCGGACCAAGGGACAAATGTGCGGCTTCTCTCTAAGGAACTCGGGGAGGGCATTCATCTGCTCCTTGTTGCGGACGCCGATGTGGATGAAGAGATGAAAGCGAGCGCGAGGAAGGAGCTCGTGACAGACCAGAGCGACGTTGCGAAGAGAGGGGACATCATCGCTAAGTTGATCGACGACCAATTCAGCGACCTCTACAGAGAAGCGATCGAATGACATATGGACGAAGGATGCGAGTATTCCTGTCGAGCGGGTTGTACGTTGTTTTCAAGGCTCTTGCATGTTAGACTTTTATGTTGGACTGTCCTGCGGAGAATCCACATACGCGAAAACGGAATGGTATACAAGAGGATGATACTTGGGGTAGAAAATGGAGTCCATCATCATGTTGGTACCCTGAAAGGAAACATGGAACAAAGTGAAGTGTCAGCGCAATTCTGTGATACATCTTCGAGGGAACGGCCGACCAGAGTGATCGGCGAACCTGGACCCTACGTTCTGAGCTGCGGCTGTACAACAGAGTTCCCGCAGACTTCTGTTCAAGGGCTGACTATTCTTGTCCAACCACGGTGCAGCGCTTGGGGCTCCAGAGTTTTTCATGTTCCAACAATATAGGGCTCAGACAGATAACATCATCGAGACCATACGACGTGGTCGCTGCGACCCACAACCCACCTGGCCATCTCAAGGGAACGCTCTCACAGACAGAAGCTAGCGCTCGATTGCTTGGTACAGCTGGTTGCGAAATTTATGCCCGACCAACTCCGACGCAGTTTCGACCACGAGAAAATCACAGAAATCGAGAAAATCAAAAAATTCATGCACTCGCCATTTTGTTCCCCTGTGCTCTTTGAACTTCATATAATCTCTGTAGAAGCGAGTATGAGACCTCACGAACTTGAATGGAGAGCGTAGGACTCCTGGTTCCCGACTTATGCCCTTCGAGAGAAATCACTGGAAGTTTCCTATGGGCGATGAGGTTTCTCACTCAGCCATCTGCGCACCGCCTTGAAACGTCTCTTATAAAAGTAGTGGCTGATGCAGACTAGGTTTTGTGGGTTTACAGGGAGATTTGACACGTTCTTAGCCAGAGCAGTAGGCAGTCTGCCTCCTGGCTCTTGCCAGCGCATCAAGCGCCGGAAGAGGTTCAGACATCGGTATATCATTGTGACTCTCGTGGGCTTCAATGTCGTTTCCCCGCTCTGATATCTGTAACAAAGTATGTTTAGGTGCTCTTGATACCTTTCCAGTACGAACTTCGTCAGCAGACACATCATCAACACTATGCAACGCCGGCAGAGGCAGCATTTAAGTAGCACCTAGTTCCAGTTTTCTCGAGGCACCCTTGCCACACAACGTTCTGTAATAGCCTATATGGACCATCAAAACTGTCTTTGAGGTGAATTACCATCCAAATACTGTCTCTTCCATTCTTGAGAGCCTGTCTGTTTGCTCTGGCCTACCTGCGCAAAGTAGCGCCCGTGAGGTCCTTGCAAAGAGCCTTCTGCGAATGTCGTGAATCACCCTTGTTCATCATGTTTCAGCCTCTTATAGACCTAGAGGGGTCGAGTACCTCGTAATCTAGGTGTTTGATAGTGCAGGGCGATTTATGGGATTTGTTTCATTTTACGATGCAGAAAGTGCACGAGCGTCGTTCGGAGTCGGCTGGCATTAATTCCGCAACCAGCTGTATCACTCCGCTCTCAGCAGCAACTTCGTGGGAATCCAGAGGTCCACTGCGACACATGTGCCAAGATCTGCTCGAGGAAATGCTCCCATGCGTCCGGGCTTCCTCGTCATTATCTGCGTCCGAGTCGTGCGAGGGAACTTCGTAAAGAAGAAACCATCAGTATCGGAGATAGGCGTGTGTGAAGAACAACTTGAGAACTTACAGAAGCTCCACTACCATCGACGAAGGACCTCGAGCATCCCGGCAATGAATGTACGCATGACGAAGTTCGGCTCTTTTCTTAGAAATGTAAATAACCCAGATGAAACGGATTAGGACGTTGGTGACGTGTGTCAACTACTCCTTCGCTCGGAATACTGTCTAGTGATAGGTCTGTGGTTTGCGCAGTTTAGGTTAAGCTCGGATGGCAGCAAGAAGTAACTGCGTCGACCACACTCACGGGTATAGCATCGTTGTATGGCATCTCATGCCGTAGTAGAGCCAAGGGGCGTGTGGTCAGAGAAGGGACCAGTCCATTAGAAGGTCCTGGATTGAGTATCGTCAATGCGGTGTCCATTGTCAATATGACAGCTCGTGCCGTGACCGTACCCAAGCTCCAGCGTAGATCGAGTAGTTGGTCGCGAAGACGCACCGTGCGACAAATATAGGGCCGCGAGCACCACCTGGCAAACCGTATCATGAGGTTCCTCCATTGTCAGAGCAGTGCATGACGGACCTTGAGATCGCCACAGGAAATAGAACAGGTACTGTACGATGCCAGAACCATACTTCCCGCCCTGCGTCCGCGGTCACCGGCTGTTCTCCGCACAGAAGATGGAGTGACAAGTGCATACATTGATCAAGTGTGTCACCAGGCCCGAGTCGACATAGCGTTTGACAGACTGCACAAGACGTGCCAAAAGCGGCAGTGACGCTAGAAGGAAGGGGACGCCCCACTTCGGGCCATGGTTCGTGGTGCACCGCCTCCACTCCATGTTCATGCCCGCGCCGTGTACGCATGCGACATAGTGCAAGCCACTCGGTGTAGACATAAGGATGCACGGAAGGACGTCGGTCGAAGCAGTCACGCCGGACGGACAACATCGCGAATCTGAAGGGCGGCGCCGTGACGCACCTCATCCCGATCTCTGCGAGCTACAAGCGGCATGCTCCGGAAACAAGAAGCTTAAGAGACATTGCACAGCGGCCATCCGCTTGTCGTCCCAAGGTGTACTTTCCAACGAAGTTATCATCATTATCTCTCACTCGACAACCGGCCGCATGCTCTCAAGTTTCTCGATGACCGCCTGCGGGCGTTCTTCGCATGTCCTGTGCATTCTACAAATTTTCAACGAGCGCGATTTAACGCCATGTAGAATACCACAAACTCCGCCGAACCGCCAGGGGGGTCATCTTGAGAGCCGAAGGAGGCATCGAGGAGGTCAGCCTGATTGAGCTGTCGCTCGTCGCTTCGAACTCTGCCTACATGCTGTCTGCTGGATTCGACTCCAAAAATGCGCCGCAGCACAAACATTGTGTGCGGGCGTCGACTGGTCTGGAGGATGCAAGTGAAGAGGAGTCCCAGAATTGAAATGCGATTGAGGAACAAGCAGTACAATGGATGCGCCTGCTGCACCGGCTGGGGTGGAGACGCACAAAGTCTCTAAGCGAGCCTCATACTCCTATACGGGCGATATCTTCTTATAGCATGAGCTGAGGATATCTAGAAGAGGAAGATGGGGGAGCAACGAGTTCAGTAGCCGTTCGATCTTGTTCAATCGCCGACCGAATCCTGTAGTGGGTAATTCGACCTCCGATAATGCGTCAAGATCAACACATGGCCGACGCGTCGATTTGCAAGAGTATACAATGCATTGTAGGACCGTGAGTAGAACATCAACGATTAACAGGTACCGTAATCAACCTCGTTGTCACCTCGAAGGGCACTGACTCTCCTGAACAACAGCATACGACAAGAAACAACTGAGCCAGTAGCGTACTCACGACAGAAGGGCAAGTTCCGAGTCGAACTTCGATATACAAACCGCAGAAGTAATGGAGACATGGGCTTATTGCGTCTCTGACGCAGTCCATAAGCTATTCGTAAGGGAGGATGCCATCTCTCACGCGCGGAGCACGTTGCTGAGTCGGCGTCCAGACACCGATCCATCGTCCGCTCCAGACCAGAGCGTCTCCCCATCGGGAGAGAAAACCACATGGCGCACCGGTGCGCCCTCGTGCTCCCAAAGTCTCCTCACCAACGAACCGTCCTCCACCTTGAATAACCGCACTGTGTGGTCCCACGACGTCGTCGCAACGTACCGACCGTCGGGAGAAAACCTCGCTGCGTGAACCCAGTTGAAGTGCTTGAACGACAGCGTGCATTCCCCTCCAGAGACGGGCCAGATCTTCGCCTTCTTGTCTTCCGAGGCAGAAAGCACGAATTTCCCGTCAGGGGAGAACGCAACGTCCAGGATCGGTCCCAAGTGACCGCGCAGGACGGTGATGAGAGCCCCGCCCTCGGTGTCCCAGATGCGGACGGTATGATCCATAGACGCAGTTGCGAGTCGGGTGCCTGTAGGATCGAGCGCGGCGGTGGTGACAGGTGCAGTGTGTCCTTGAAGAACTTTGCGTAGTCTGCCTGAGGCGAGGTCCCAGAGACAGCAGTGCTGGGGAAAACCAGGCCTCGTGGACAACAGCCATCGGCCGTGGAAGAAGAGAAGGTGCTTCCCTCCAGGTCCCCCGTCCACGACCGCGCTCGGGCTCGGGCTCCGCCGAACTTGAAGCCTGAGTACGCGGGACTCCTGGAGCGTGGAACCATACAGGATGCGAATAGTTGCGTCGGCGCAGTCGATTGCGAGATGTGCGTCGTCGTGGGACCATGCGCAGCCACGGATAGTTGTGCCCTCTACCCCCAGCGAGTTCGATCGGCTGACCGCGCCCTGGTCGTCTATATGCCAGACCGCAAGCTCGCCACCTCCGGCTGCAGCAAGGCGTCGACTATCATGGGAAAAGGCGAGGGAAAAGAACTCCTGGCCCTTTCCGGAAGCCGTCCATTCTCGGGTTGGGATCTGCTGGCGGACGTCCCAGAGAATGATTTTCCCGTCGTGCGCGGCACTAGCGATCCACTTGCTGTCAGACGAGGCGACGAGAGCTTGCACAGCACCGTCATGGCTCGGTCTGGTGCGTGTGCTGTCTGTTGCTGCAGGCGTAACCAATTAATGAAGATAATCAACCTTCGCACAATAACTACTTACGCACGGGCAACTCGACCGTGACCTTTCCCTGGGACCACAACGTCGGGAAGTGTTCCTTGAGCTCCGAGTTCTTCGGATCCTCCTGGAAGGACCTCGATCGCCTGCCGCTCTCAGCAAGCGAGAACTTCAGTGCGTATCGCGGGAATGCGAGCAGCACCTGCTCCAGCTGCTTGCAGGCTTCGAGAGTGCCTTCCTGCGCCAAAATAGCAGCAAGGGCCGAGAACGAGGAGCCATAGCAATGGACACGTAGCTCTTGTAACCGCACGGTCCCTACGCCAGACAGGAGCTTGAAGAAAGAGGCGATACGCGAAATGGCCTGTAGGAAAGCCACCCGGCGGCCCTCAACGGGCATACATAGTGTGAGCGTGTTCAAATTAGATAGCTGTCCGCCGAGAACTAACAATTGCACTGTATGATTCGTGAACGGCAAAGGAGAATAACATAATGAGCGCATGCTATAGGGAAGGATTAGTCTGACACGTACCACTGCCGGCTTGTTCTCGAGTGACGTGGATAGCAAGCTCTTGCAGGGAGGACTTGCTGATCTCCAGGAGTGAGACGACGGCAGCCTCCGAGACGTCGCGGCGGATCTGAACTTGATCAGCGAAGGCTCTGAAGAACACAAGCCAAATCGAAAGAGCTCACAAGCAAACGTGCCAGACGACATTGCGGAGCGATATTTCGGTAAGTCATCGCCAGCGTAGTGGCAGCCCCTTGCCCCTTGACGTTGATCTCTTCGCACACAAGAGTGTGCAGACCAGAGAACGCAGAGACAAACCGTACAAGGTCGGCGCATCCCGAGAAAGACAAGGTGTTGATAGATAGGTGTCCGATCATTGCTGTGTACTTGCGGAGGCTGGCTAGGGTGGATTGGCTCAGCGATAGCCAGTGCTGACCATTGAAATCGAGGGCCTGATTCGTCACCTTCCAACGGCGTAGGTTGGGAAGTCGAGTGAGCAGGGGGACGGGAATTGTCTCGAGAATCGTAAAGGAGTGCGGCTCATCATCCGTGGTCGAGATGGTGACGCATCGGACCAAGGGACAGATGTACGGCGCGTTATCAAGGAATTCGCGGAGGGTGTGCATCTGGTCCCTGTTGCGGACGCCGATGTGGACGAAGAGATGGATCCGAGCGCGAGGAAGGAGCTCGTGACACACCAGAGCGACGTTGCGAAGAGAGGGGACATCATCGCTAAGCTGATCAACGACCAATTCAGCGACCTCAACAGAAAAGCAATCGAAAGACATATGGACGAAGGATCCGAGTATTCCTGTCGAGCGGGTTGTACGTTGCTCTCAAGGCTCTTGCATGTTGAACTTTTATGTTGCACTGTCCTGCGGAGAATCCGCACATGCGAATACAGCATGCTATACAGGAAAAGAATACTTGCGGCAGAAACCGGAGTGAATCATCCCGCAGGCACCCTAAAGGAATCGACTAGTGGGATGTCAGCGCGATTTTGTGATATACATTTCGACTGAACGGCCAACCATACTAGACGGCGAACCCTGGACCCTAACATCCTGAGCTGCGATTTTTACAAATCGAGGTCTCGCAGACTTCTATGCGGAGACTGACCATCCAGGTCAAACCACAACACAGCACTCGGTGCTCTGGAGTTTCTTCAAATCACACCAATGCAGTAACCTGATTGATGACATTGACGAGACTGCACGGTGTGGTCCTTGCAAATCCACCATCCGCATGGTCATTCTAATGAAAAGCCTCAACAGATGGGATCCATCGCTCAATTGTTTGGTATCCCTCCACTCTCAGCAGCAACTTCGTCGTCGGGATCCAGAGGTCTACTGCGACGCATGCGCCAAGATTTGCTCGAGGAAACGCTCCTGTGCGTCCGGGCGTCCTCGTCATTATCTGCGTCCGAGTCGTGCGAGGGAATTTCATGAGAATACGGCAGGGGTACTTCCCGGGTGACTCGGTACTGATCGACGTTTCCGAGGTGTTCGTTCTCGAGACGCACTGCGCGTAGATGACAATGAGCGCAGAGAAGGGATCATCAGTAGCGGAGATTGGTGTGTGAAAAGCAAAACTTACAGAAGTTCCACTGCCATCGGCGAAGGACCTCGAGCATCCCGGCGATGAACGTTCGTATGATAAAGTTCGGCCCTTTTTCAGGAATGTAAATTACCCAGATGAAACGGATTAGGATGTTGGTGACCTGCGTCAATTGCCCTTTCTATTAGCATACTTTGTATAGTAGAGTGGAAGTCTAGGAACGTTCGTGACGCACGATAGCGAAGTAATAGAACTGTGGTTTGCACGGTTAAGGTTAGGTTCGGATGACAGTAAGAAGTCACTGCGTCGACCACACTCACGGGTATGGCATTGTTGTATAGCATCTCATGCCGCAGCAGAGTATAAGGGGCGTGTGGTCGGAGAAGGGACCAGTCCATCAAAAGGTCCTGATTGAGTATCGTCAATGCGATGTACATTGTCAATATAGAAGCTCGCGGCGTAACGTACCCAAGCTCCAGCGTAGAGCGAGTAGTTGGTCGCGAAGACGCACCATGCGACAAATATAGGGCCGCGAGCACCACCTGGCAAACCGTATCATGAGGTTCCTCCATTGTCAGAGCAGTGCATGACGGACCTTGAGATCGCCACAGGAAATAGAACAGGTACTGTACGATACCAGAACCATACTTCCCGCCCTGCGTCCGCGGTCACCGGCTGTTCTCCGCACAGAAGATGGAGTGACAAGTGCATACATTGATCAAGTGTGTCACCAGGCCCGAGTCGACATAGCGTTTGACAGACTGCACAAGACGTGCCAAAAGCGGCAGTGACGCTAGAAGGAAGGGGACGCCCCACTTCGGGCCATGGTTCGTGGTGCACCGCCTCCAATCCGGATTCAAGCCGGTCGCATACACGCAAACAACATAGTACAGATTGCCCAAAGTGAAAATCAGGCTGCAAAATTGATCTCTATTGGCAGAGTCGAGGGATGTTAGTCGCCCAGGCCGGTGGCGGATAAACAATGTTACGCACCCCATCCAAAAGTCCGCGAACTCGACACGGTGCGCTCCTGACGTAAGCAGCCTAGAGACATTGCGAAGGAGCCACCATCGCGACGATTTGAACATCATCGGTATAGGGTTAAGGAGTACCAGCGCCGTGAAGGCTAGCCAGAGGAGGGGCCACGACGTAGGAGCGATGCTGGAAGTACCAATCCTGGAATATGAAAGCCAGAAGGCATAGCATAGAAGGGAAAGGAGAAAAGCGGGGAGCTGTCCATGGTACATACAGTCAGATATGCTACATATACCGACGTGATAGCTTTCCGATCTGTTGAGCAAAGACATACCTCGAAATAGACCCTGTAGTCCATCTTTGTCCGCAGATCCAACTCTGTACCCTTCTTAGTGACGCTGTCCGACTTGGAAAAGCGTATGGACCCACCGAATATGAAGACGTAGTTTATCCGCGCCCTCGCCCACACTAGTAAGTTGACCCCGACCAGCAACGAGAAGAATGTTGGCACAAAGAATATCCCGTAGACATACATGAGCCCATCCCACCCGGGGATCTCTGCTCGTGTGTCTGAAAGAAAGCCTGATAACAACGCACAGGTCGCACTTTATATCCCGTCTCGCCCGCACACTAAAGCGGATACAAAACTCACTCTTGTATAGACCATCGGCGAGAGCTGGTACAGCGAGTCCAAGCGCCATACCTGTGCGGAAAGTGCTGAAGTGATGGCTGGTATGTTGTGAGCCACCACGCAAACGAGCCATTGCTCTCTTCTTGTCTCCGCGTGCTAGTAGTGTGCCACATATCGTTCAGTCGACATTCGTGACATCGAGCAGAGAGAATTCTACCGAAACGAGCAGCAAAGAGCATTTCCATGTCGTTGATGAGGTCTTCAATGATCGTGCCTGAAGAGAAAGCGCTGGGTTCGATCTTCTCCCTAGTGTACGCGACTTGGGCCGGAATCTAAGACAGGTCATCAGGGGAGGTGTTGTTCTGCAGTGACAGTGCTTCCCATACCCTCGTGACCTTCTCGAACTTCTTCAAAGCTTTCCGGAACCCGATCAAGTTCAAAGTCTACGATAGTCGCAGTGTTAGCAGACATGCAACCGGAGGACAACATATGCGTACCCGATAGTTGTTCAGCAACTCCAGACCACTATGAGGCCCCATATCAACATACATCCGCTAACTGCGACTACTGCGTGCGAACTTACCGATAGCACTCCACCACAGCCTTCTTCAACTGCTTCTTCGCATGCTGGTACTCCTCAGGGTCGTATCTCGGCGTTCCCGTAGCATTCTCACCCGGAGAGCTCGCAGTACCTTCGTCGCCAGTAGGCGCCTCCTCCTCCTCGTTGTCTGCCTCGACCCCAGCGTCCGTCGTACTCTCTGCATTCCGCACGAGACTCGCGTTCGGGAGCAAGCTCGTAGGGAACAGCGCCTGGACGCTCTTCGACACTCCGATGGACTTGGACTTGTTCCGCCACCGCTGCGAGCTCGGCACAGACGCAGACGCAGACGCAGAGCCAGAGCCCGAAGGGCCAGCGAGCGTGGTATCTGTCTCGTCGCTGTTCGGTCCGCCGTCCACGCTATGGAACGTACTGGCCTTGGCGTTGAGGTGGACTTCCGGAACCTCTGCTGCTGTGGTCTGTGGCGAGTCGGGGTGCTTGAACGTAAACGAGGAGCGCCGGTACTTGGCAGCTTTTGCCGGGGGAGAAACGGGAGATGTTTCGCGATGAGGGTGCGGAGAGCTAGGAGGTGGATGGTCGAGCTTCGCCTTGCGTCGCCGGGTGAGGACACTAGGAATCGTGGGAGGAGGAAGCAGAAGAGGCAAGGGTAGCCAAGCATATGGCGACGCCGTAGCAGGGTGCGCATCATAGAACGCACGGCGATGGTCCTTGAGCGCCTGCAGCTGTTCTTTCAGCAAATTGGCCCTAGAAGACGACGTTAGCTGATTATCTGTAAGCTGCCGGCTAGCCTAGAAGTACAAACCGGTGCCGCATCTCCTTCTCCCTCTCGCAATAGAAACTCTCCACTTTATCCAACTCTTCGTCTAGCTTGTCAAAGAACGCCTTCTCGACAGGCGTCAGCTCTGGCAACAAGTCCATCAGCGGTATTGGCCGCTTGAGGTCGAATCTCGGAGCTGCGATCTCCCCTGAAGGACCGCTCGTGTTCCCGCGAGTCGAGTGTGCTCGCGGGAACATGAAGGCACGCCCCAGGGCGGATGTGACAGTGCCGCTGCGTGCCCGACTTGCGCGCGGGTGACCAGATGCCGTGCTTTCCACCGTGGTGGAACGGACATGTGGAGGACGTGTTGCAGCGGAAGTGGGCTGGCTCTGTGATACGCTATGGTTTGTGTTGGAATGCAAACTCTGGTCCTTTTTGGACGGTGGCGGTAGGGTAACGTGTTGTCCCTGGTGAGTCGGCGAGCGCAATTGCACCGACTCTGCTGCAGAAGAGACAGTCTCGATCGACTCGCGTGCAGGTCCGTCAGCGTCGCGCGCATTCAGCTCGGCATTTTTGGTATGCTTCTCGACGGGAGAAAGGATGAGGTCCTCATGCGATTCGGCGAGCCCGAGCGCTGCGCGCGATCGACGGATGGCGGTGATCCGTTTCTTGAGGCCACGGTAGTCTCTGTGGGAGCACAAGTCAGCACGACTGTTGTAAAAGAGGTCTTTGTTCTAACGCGCAAATTATTCCAAAGCGCCAAAACATCTCTGGAGCTCGCTGACAGTCCTGGGAAGCCTTGCATGCTTCGAGTGCGGTGACGTCAAGGCTTCGCTCATTCGTCTCGCGTACCATGGCCATGGTCAATGTCAATGGTATAGAGAGACCGCGCGTGCGCTCCACGTCAAGACACGGGAGAATAGTCACTAACATGTACGCTTTTTGCCATTCAGGCGTCTACATCACGGCAGATTGATGAGACAAGTAGTTGGGCAATACTCTGAATGGCTACTCGCCTGTGTCTCCTCTAGGTAGCTGCAAAAAGCAATTAGCATGATGTGTCGACACGCCCCTATAGAGGAGATGACCCTACCGCGCAAACTTCATCGCTAGCAGATACGCTCGTTTCGTCAATAGTTCGTAAAAATAGCCTCCAAGCAGACTACAGTAGGTTAGAAAATGACACAAGGAGACAAGGACAAAGAGAAAGATGACAGAGAGTTGCGCACCTTGAACTTATGCGCCGGATCCGACGCCACCTGCAATTATCTCCGATCCAATCAAGGTGCCGGCAAACGCCGGATGATCGGCGGCCCCTGATTGGCTTTGACCCTGTCCCTTTGCACAGCTCTTTCGCCCCGGCCCAAGCAAGAACAATTGCAAGTTTGTTCCTGGGATAGTACACCGCTACACATTGCGCCGAGGGAGGACACGTTGTCTTTAGACTCGGAAGTGCGTCACGTTCCTCTGATAGTGCACCATGGCTGGACAGAACGATACAGCTACCCACATAAGCGGATCAATAGAGGTGTCTCCCCGCATAACAAACGAGACTGACTTATACGAGACTCCAAGTACATAGCACTCAGGCTGTATCAGTGCAGTCTACACCCCATGCGAAGGTAAGTATCGCAGACCATAGACTGAGGTATGTTCGTCTCATGTCTTTAGCTTTGCGATTCCCGCTGCTGATGTGCTGTAGATGTGCTGTATGGAGGTTCTGGACTGCGGGGACCTGCGACCGCAAAGCGCTAGCACGGCAGGCAAAGCGCGATGGTCCAGGTGAGGAAATCTATGCTAAATATACGTGCCATGCAACGTGCCCATAATATCTCCCAAATCACAAAGAGGGATACAAAGGCCCACTGGAAATGCTAGGGTCAGGTTGCGTTGCCCATAAATGCCACACAACTTTCCCTGCTCGGAGCCTGGCGCTTTGCCCGCCGTGTAAGCTCCGGCCTTGTAGACCATCTTCAAGTGCGTGAGCATCCTAGCCCCATTCCTTTGAATTTTAGTCTGCGCCTGTGCCCTGTATCCGCGTTTTTGGCTTTAGGGGCCTGTTGCTGCGCACCGGGCAGAATTGATCCGCATCATTAGGCCACCATTCCTTTGAGCCTTGACTGGACCTAGCGTGCTTTGCGATGCTGTTGTTTGGCCCGGGAGCTGTGGTCGTGGCCATTATTCCTGCTCATCTATATAAAGGGTACGTTTTCACCTTCACCCCTCAGCAGCAGCTCTCCGCTCTCACCCGCAGACTCAGACCCATCGACACGACACTACTTCGCCCGCTGAGTGCGAGGCCGATAAGCTACGCCAAGGTCTGTCCGTTCTCACATCGTCAATCAAGTGCCGTATCCTTACACTGTTTGCTTGCAGGTCGCTTGGCAGCCCTGGCGGGGTTAGTCCCGAGCAGAGGCACAGCTACCTATCACCATGAGCACTTCACCTGGACCGGAGCTCCGGTGGCACGTCGCGGTGCTTTCCCGGCCGCTGATAACCATCTATGGTTCCCCTCAGTCATCGACTCCGGTACCGGGATTTCGTGGTTCCTCCGCGAACACCCCTGACCGATTCTGGTATAAGGTTAGTGAAACACGAACTACCTACATCTCCCGAGGCTCATTCGTCGTCTCAGCGTAGTGCACGTCTCTCGACCCCACCCGCGTGGTGCGCAAGACGGCTACCGCGAAGTCCATCGCCGTCGCATTCGAGGCCTCCTCCCTTCGTATGTGGATACCCCTGTGGGAGACCTGCCCAGCCCCGACTCCCCATCTCGCTCTGCACTCGTCGTCGCCCCAAGATAGATGGCACGGCGGCAGCACTATTAGGGCACGCCAACGCGGACCCGTCTAGGTGAATCCCATCTTCGACTTCATTCTATATTCCCTGACATCTATACTCGCAGGCACCCACTCCCAACTCCATCCCTCTTCTCGTTGTCGCTGATGGTGCCGGCCGCCTTTGCCCGCGCACGACAACCTCACCAGCCGCTTGTCCTCGCGTCCGAGTCCACTCCTCCACGTCCCGCCCTTGACCCTCATCTCACCTCGCCGTGGAGATCGCGCTCTGGCCGGAAACGACTCGAAGCTTGCTCCGCTAGGCCCAGAAGGTCTGTTCAACAAGGTCTTGCAATTGCACGCCGATCTCTTCGAGTCCTTCGCGAGCAAATGGAGCGAGGTGCGCGAGGTTCCGTTCTGTCTCTCGTCCCCACGGTGGAGCACCGGAAACGCCTTCTTCGCGGCTATATCTTCCTCTCCGACCCCAAGGAAAGTGGTGTGCACTTATCCGACATCAATCAGCAACTACCGCGCAATCTACGCCCGTCCTGCGAAACCTGCTGGCGAAGAACTATCCGCGGAGGTACTGGAATGGGGAAGATACATGATGCCTTTACATCATACCTGTGGTCAGGCGGCTGTGGGGGTGTCATCGACTACTTCATAGCGACCACTCGCGCGATGCCCCCAGCAGACGTCATGCACGTATGTACCTTTGTTTCCTCCACCATGTTTACCTTGTTGACCATCTCCTCTGATTCCAGTCCCCCGCCCCTCCCCTCCTCATATTTGCCTGGCGGTCTCAGCTCTAGGCCTCTGGGCGTCGGTCTCCCGGAAGGCTCGCCTTTCGTCGTCTCCCGGAAACACTGGCTGAATTCGATACTCCTGATCCTCGTCTACTACTGCATTCGCTACCTCTGCTCCAGGATCCGTTACAACGGCGCTGTCGCCACCATTCTCGACGAGAATTACGATTGCTTCACTTTGAATTACATGCCCCGCCGACATCATCTGTCAACGGAGACCCCATTGGCCCGTCGACGTCTCCATAGGTGTTGCGCTCGTCCCCACAGTCGTCGATCACCCTACTCAGCCTCTCGCAGGCCCCCAACTCGACCTCCTTATCTGGGAGGATGTTGACCCCGTCAGCCTCCCTGCGGGGTCCGCGTCGGGTTCAGGCCACGTCCGTCAATCCAATGCAGGCCCATGGCGGTCAACCTCACCTTGATAGATGCACATCCAAGCCCTTCTGACGCTACATATCACTCCCAATTACCAGTCATGAGCTCTCCACCCTACCACGACAGCTGTCCGGGTCATGTGGCCTGGATACACCTTTGACGCCTCTCCAGCAGGCGGGTGAGGATTCCAACGCAACCGCTTACGCCCTCTCCGGGCCGCGTTTTGACGTGGCCTAAGATGGTGATCCATTTCGGCAGCATGCACTTCCAGCCGTACCAGCAGGCGACAGAGAATACGAGGCGCAAGGCGTCGAAGATGTATCCATTCAAGTTTGGGCTTTGTGAGTACTGCCTGATCTGATATCGCTCTCTTGCCCAGCAGGCTGACTGTTGCATTCTGCCCATCAATGCAGCGTTTCCCCTCCTCAGCGTAGCAGGCGCCTTCATCCGGCCCTCGCCGCGCCACGCTCTCGAGGCTTGGAAGTCGACCAGGCTCGAGGACGTGTAGCGAAAGATGATCCAATCCATGCACCCTATCAAGATCGACTTGGCATCGCGTCACCCTATTTCGGATGCCCTGTGCTCCCCCGCCTCTACTCTCTCTCACCTCACCCCCAGACTCCCTGAAGGATATCGGTATCACCGACTTCAAATTCTTCTTTGGGAGAATCTAGTGACATGGGCCTTCATTTCATACAGATGACGAAGTCGAACGAGTGCCTAAGAGAACCGTCCCCCTAGATGTAGGTCCGGTAGACGACTGTTCGCATTCGGCGTCCCATCCCCAGGACCCCAACGCGTATCTCTATGAACACGTAATATCTGCGGGAAGGGATCGTGCACATCCGATGGAGCTCTTTGGCGCCATACAGGACGAAGAGAGCATCACACTCACTTCGGCATCTCCACTGCATATAGTACGTTCGCGCCCCCCTGTATCTGTACGTAGGAAATCCCCTAAAATCGGTTTTCCCTCGTAATCCCTTCCGTCGCATGTGACCTCTGCGAATCCATCAGCGAAGGCCGCGGCGTTCACCTCACCTCCCGACCGTCTCGACGTCGGGGGTGAGTTCCAGAATACTCCTCCATTGCGTTGTCGTAACGGTCTATTCCCTCGTCTGCGCGCTCCGGCGCATTTCCGGCGGCTGCCTGAACTTCTACTATGATCTGCGTGTGATTTATCTCAACTAGTCTGAGCGCGCTTTTTCATCCTACCTCTGTACTAAGGCAGTTCGGTGACTACCCCAATCTGATGGTGAATGGCCGTTTACGTAGAAGCATGGACGAGCATTCGCCGAGCCATGCAAACGCCGCTAAGAAGCGACCACTAGTACATACTGGCGGTGATTCCGACGTCGACGTCATCTCGCATAAGCAAACAGCAAATATCTTGCGCTCAACTGTCTGTCAGACAACCGTGGTCTCGGTATGGAGTCCTCGGGGAGATCTCATAGCCGGACTACTCGCAAGCGCGCAGACTTGGCGGGCAATAAGATAGAGGCGAGGACACAGCTGCGCTGTGAAGCAGCATTCATACATTGGTGCATGTGATGTGACGAAGAGCAACGAGGACAGCATATGTGAGTCGCGAGAACAAGAATGTCGGCTCTCGAACGAGGCGGGAAGCAGCGGTCAGGGGTAAAGAACGGAAGCGTACGGGAGGCGCAACGAGAGGATGCTCGAGCACAAGTGATGGCCGTTTATGTGTAGGGGTATAGCGTGTGTATGTGCGATGTGGGCGATTCGATACAATGGACGTAAGAGAAATCCAGTGTTCATGATTTAAAAAGCAATAACTAACAGAGCGAACGAAAAATGCGTGGAATGGGGGAAGGGAGGAAGGAAGCTGTGCCTAGCTCCCAGGCCGTCGGCGAGCGTACGACGTCTGTCGGCAGCACCTGCGGACGATACTATGATATGCGCACAGGCACCCTTGCGCGTACCTGATCTTGGCCGAATATCACCGAGACGTCAAGGTAGTACTGTGAGAAATTCAGCGTGACGATGGCGAACGCTATCCACCCGATAGCACGTACCTTTACTCTGATGCCAGCCCAATCAAAGGCGGGGAGCATATGCTTCTCCAGCTGGATTTTGCCCTTATACAAGCCATCGGGTAACAGCTTGTGCACCTCCAACGATGGATGTTTCTGACCGGGCTCCATTCGATACCGTGGTCTCTTCGGAAACCCAATGGACACATCGGTATAGAGCGCGCGCGACTCAGATATTGATGGTGCAGGCAGCTGCGGCAGCGGCTTATCCTTGGGACTCGTGTCCCTGTGGCTCGGCGTTTCCGCACGTCGTGGTAGACTAGCGCCAGCGATACGCCTCGAGGACGACTGCACTGTGGATCCGTGGCTCTTGACGACACGTCTCAGAAGCCTTTTTGACGCTACAGGGGGCATGTCTGCTTCGTCGCTTGATGTCGAAGGCGTCGAGGAAAGGGGCGTCAGGGGATAGCGGGGCGTGATGGAGTCGATGCGCACGACGCGCGATAGCGAAACTGAGACGGTTGCATCGGCAGCGATTTCCCGCGCGAGCGGCGCCGACCGTGGAGTTGTGGTGAAGACGACAAAGTACGATATCGAACTCGAGCGCGAGAAGCTTGCCGGATGGGGTAGAGTAACCTGCAGGATCAAGACACAGGAGAGGGACCACGATCGCAGTCAGCTTGGGTGATCACTCGGCGTTCGAAGTTCGCTGCGGACTCACGGCACAAGTAAATGGCAGTGACCGGTCTGATTTGAGAGGAATCTCCAACCACGACTCTGGCTTCATCGCTGAACCATCGAGCGATTGGAAACCCGGATCAGGCTGATAAATGACTGGCGCCTCCACTCTACAGCACAACAGAACACACGATAATCAAAAGGTCAGATCAACGATGCCCAAAGACGAACGCGCATTAGGGCATTTCGATAGCACTCACAATACCCGCTCACTTCCATCAGCAGACTCCCATACAGCTGTAACGCTGTACGACACCTCTGCGTGTTCTACGCCTGGGCGTGCACGAGGCCCCCATTCTCCGGTTGCGACCGACGAGAATGTTGGTGGGAGCTCCTGCCCGGACTGCTCGGGGCGCGGAATCTCGAATACGAATGGGAACGGCCGCAGCGCGCCACGTATGCTCGTCTGACTCGGACGGCGTTCCCGTCGCCCGCGCATGCCAGCAGTGAACGCGTCCCTCAGCGAGGTCGTCGACCGTGGACTGTCGAGCTCGCCTGTGGGCCGCGAATCCGACGTAGTGAAGAACACGTGCCGAGTCTTCTCCTTCTCCACATGTGCAAAGTCGTAATCATCGTGCTTTTCTTGGAACATGTTGGGGGATGTGTAGAAGAAGCTGCCCGACAACTGTCGACATGATCGAGGTGATTGAGTTGGAGAAGGGAACCAAGCGGTCGTGAACACGTACGAAGGTCGTCAGGCGCCCTGGGGTACCACACAGGTTGACATCGAGAAGGACCGTGCCTGCTACCTTGTCATGATCACCGAAGACAGGCAACGATCGGATGTCGTAGTTGGCAGCTCGATGGATTTTGACGGAGGGGCTTCGTACGTGGATCTCCAGCTGGGCCGCACTGGCGACCAAGCAGGGCAGGGGTTGGCGACTTGGCAGGGACAGGACGAAGGATGACTCACCGGAAGACAGAGTTGTGAGGGTAGTCCAAGTCTGCAGGAAGCACGGCTGGGGCAGATACCGGAGTGTCCTGGCTAGCGTTCGGGTCAACGCGTAGGATGGGTCGTCGGAGCATCACGCAGGAAGGTCATGCAGACCTGCGAGGACAGAAAGCACAGCGAAGGGGGGAGGGAAAAGATCAGGAAAACAAGTCAACGATGTTGAAATGTCGATCGACGGTCGAACCCAGACATTGGCGAACGGCCGTCACCCCCGGCATCCATGAGTCTTATATGTATTCGCCGCGAAGAGGAGAACCACAAAGACGGTACCGCGCTAGCGCAGGTCAGAAGAGACCCAATTCCCAGCCGCGGATCATCGAACGGTTCGAACCGCCAACCACGCGAGAACCAACGAACCTCCTGGTTGGCCAGCAGCAAGCCGCCGGTGCTGCTCATCGCAGGACGCCGCGATCAATTCTTCTCGCTTGGGCACAAACAGCCGGGAGGGATCTAGGCACTCGGCACTCCACAATCCCATCTATCTGAGGCAGAGTTTTCAACCTTCGTGTTCTAGCAATGTGCGAAGCTGCCGTTGCTGTCGACGCTCTCATGCCGTTCAGCCTTGAATGGCTTCATAGAAGCTTCACTTCCGCAACTGCAGTCCGAAACCTTGCCACGCAGCCTGCCACATAGGTGAGCTACTTTGTTCATGCGCCTCGGGCGGAAATCTCTCGCGCTCAAGAGATTGATCAGAAAACAGTTCCAGGTGCATCTCGATAAACGCGAGCGCCCCGGTTCCTCCTACATACCCACGCTCCACCAACAAGGCGCGGTGACCTCCGTATCGAGAGCGTCGTCACTCGTTTGCAAGCACGGAATATTACGAAGTGGCCACAGCCATTCGCTGACCCCCGATCAGACGTTTGCCGTACAAGCACGTAAGTCTGTTCAGCAAGCTCAATGGCTCACTGAAAACACCGAGTGCAGAGCATTCACAGGCGGTCGATATCCATGCTGAAATCCGCTCTTGCGCCTGCAAACCTACAGTAAGCTGTCCGAAACGTTCCAAGCTAGAAGGCTTCAAGTGCATCAACAACAGTTGGGATATTTATCATGTAGGCTGGTCCCCTGCCGAGATCCGGTGATCGCGATTTACGCTGAACACCGAAACGACTGGTCAAACTGGGAGCCCTCCTGGCAGGGTGCCCATATTTGGTACCCCGTGCGAGAACGTACTGGATGCAATCGCGAGGTGCTCGCGCACAGAAAATGCACGCATGCGGGAACCCATGGGGTGTATCTCTCTGCAATTAATTTTGAGGGTCCTTGTGCAATTAATTATATACCTCTATGGTTTTCAAGGTCTCTACGGAAGTGTGAGCATGATGAGTATGCAGTTTTGCTCCTCGCCACCAACGCGAGAGGGGCGCCCAATGTGCCCGGCGCTTCCGGGGCTCGGTTCGGCGCTTTCCAGGTTTCCTTCAAGTTCGTACTCCAGTGGTCAGTAGTTCCCTCACGTTTCACTTGTGGCGTTCATTCTGAAAACTCGAACGATGAATAATAGATTGCTTTAGGCCATTGTGACACCGAGTTATGGCTGCCATCTGGTATGATGAGCATGCCCCCGGCACCTCCTGCGACTAGAGGGTGACAGTTTGGTATGTTCATTGTGCATCCTGGAGTCTTGTTTGTGACTGGATTACATGTTTATGATGTGAACTCAGACATATCACGGATTTTTCACCCACTTCCATGCAGCATAGAGTCCATACACCAAGGATGCTCTACATAGAAGCATTCCCATGGTGCCCAAGGGAGGGCGGATCTGATCAGTTCACCTATGTAGCAAGGTGGGAATCTAGGCTACCTCCTGCTTCAAGAGGCTACTCTGTAAGTTTCATGTCTGTCCTTCATGATACGACCCTTCAGTTGCTAATTTTGCGCACAGATGAGCCCATTCATGCCCAAAAAGCGGAATTGAGAGTCCAAGGTCGCTCGGGTGGGCTTGAAACACACATATGCTATGTACTACATCCATCTCTCAATGTAATTGGTACTCTATGTGGAACCACGGGGTGGAAGGGTCCATCGTCACAGGTTCTCCATGGGGGCGAAGTGCGATTTCACCAAGTCCTTTCTCTCACGGGGTACCAAATCGGGGTGCCCTGCCAGAATCGCGCCCAGTTTGACCAGTCGTTAAGGAACGCTGCCTCCTCCTTTCGATCTCCGCTGATGCGTTCCGTACGACTGGTTCGAGTCTATTTATCATGGTCAGAAAGCCTGGCCGATGATAGTAAGTATAACCTGTGATGACGGCTCGCCTACAATGATATAACCGCTCGTCAGATCATGATCCCGTCATGCTTGCCAATCCTATCAATATAGGCTGACCGTAACGCCTGCCCGTGACTACATGAAGACGCGTCACGCATCCGGAAGGTAAACATTAGGTGGACACGGACAGTAGCACAAGGGCTGGACGTGCCTCCTGGGAATCGTTCCTAGCTACCTCAACTCGAGTATGACGTCGTCAAGCAACGAGAGGAATGGTGAGCACAGTGTCGCAGAGCATGCCATTTGTTTCTTGCATCACTGCACTGACAGCGATTACTGCACGTAGATCAGTTAGGGCCGGTGCCCAGATCCAGGCGCCTACGAAACGGTCAGCTTGGGCTATACGGTGGAGGAATTAATACTCTCAAGTACTGGTCGTTGAGGCAACGAACGCCACTTACGGACGAAAGTGTTCCTGACCGGGGGCTGAATGAATGCCAGTGGCTCATCTACCGGACACTTCGGCGACATGCTCGATAGGTACCGATCGAAGGGTCATCATGGGAAAAACTCCTTTGCTGTTCTTCGTCTTCATTCCTAGATCCCGCGGCCGTTCGTGTATTGCCCTGTGAGGCCACGCCTCATGGTGGGCCTGAAATACAGGTACTATCTACTCGGGTAAGAATTGGCGCTGGGATAAACAAAGGTGAGCACGAGGCTCCCGCAAACCAGGAGATGCAACGAAGAGATAGCAACGAGGAACGGTACAAAATGGGCGTAGAGCGGAAGGGATGGAAGAGGAGATGAGTAGCAGGGCTCAGTACCTATGCGTTGCGACTACCCGTCCACCCTCGGCCATCGAAGACCAGTATACGGGTTGCAGATATGCCGCCGGATGTGTTCGATCGCGTCCCTGGGAATCGCCTCTTGCTGCAGTCAGGAATATACTCGGCAGTATCCCCGCCGCCCGTCAGGACTCCCCGCCCTAGAACGGGCTGACGCCCGCAAGGTATAGGAACAAGGGATCTGGGGGCCTAGCAAACTTCGACTGTTGTCGGCGCGGTATTCGTCTTCATCGACCCTCAACAAGCATATTCTAAAGAGTCCGCTCCAGCTTCTTGAACTGACTCGGAATGAAGTCAGGCGGGAGCATCCAGAATGTGGAAGTTCTCAACGACGTTCAGTAGCTCGCACTGTGCAACTACGCCAAGTTAAGGTGACTCGTAGAACCACCATTGAGTCACTTGACAACCGAGGAAAGGCCTCCGAGAACGCAAACAGGACTCCGTGTCGGAGAGGTAAGCTTCATTCCTCTTTCCGTAGGCGACGAAAGAACGTGGATGCGCGTTACGGAACGACACGGCCTTCCAAGAACCGCGAAGACCGGTCATAAAACAAGCCTTTCTCGGAAATTTCACAGGGACTCTCACCGTCGGACAAGTCTCCCGTATGCCGGGGCATCTCCAGAACCCAGCGCACGGGCATCAAGTTTTCCTCCCCTATATCGCCGTTAGCGTCACTCGTCGAAGAACGTGCCGCCGCCTCGCAGTGCGCCTCTGGATCCGGGACGCTGTCGGTTGCGGCATGACAGGACTCGAACGTGGGAGTGGAGGGACGCTGGAAGGGAGCAACGTCTAGCCGAGCCGCGCGATAACGACTGCAAGACAGGCATAGTGTCCCGCCACGGAGGGACGAGGGTACGGGCCCTCGCACCCCAAACTTCTCGCCTTTCAAGACATCGTCATGAGTACGTACAACCTAGACGTTGGGAGACCGAGACGTACAAGAAAGAAGAGAAGCATAGCTCGAGTAAGATCGTGTCGAACTCAAGGCCGCCGGGAAGGATCTACGGCAGGTAGCAGGTTCGTCGCATTGTCGCATTGGAGATAGCGCGTGACCCCCGGTCTGAAACGGGCGAGCACAACCCAAGTGGCATGGATTGCATGTTGTCGACCAGATTGACAGCGACGAGCAAATGTCAGCGCGTCGGGAGGTATATGCTGTCACAAGACGAGTCGTGGGAACGAACGCTCAGAGCAAGTACGCGGGGTAGGTCGTTCAGTAGCAGCGAGGCCGATGACACTAGATGATATTGAAGAGGCTCCAGACATTGTGCTCGACTCGGAGACAGCCGGATCTCAATTCATTGTCTGGAAACAGCTCCCGGCGAAGCTACGTGGGGCCGAGGACGGAGACACATATAGGGCACAAGCGACCGGTCTCATATGGCTACAGTGAAGGGCTACTTCAGCGCATAGAGACAGTACCGCAGAGGTGGGTCATCTTGACGGCATATGAGAGTATGCCATTGTCAGCAGATGGCAGCTGAGACGAGTATCCTGTGGTAAGGTACATTCGAGGGGTCAGCCATAATGACCGGAAAAAACAATTGATGTTTACGGAACAAACTCTAACTTGAGGTCCACGAGCGCGAGCCCAGAGGCGACCATAACAACACTCCCGGCTTCTGATGCACATGGTGGAACTCGACGGAACGTACCAAGGTTTAGCCCGGGGGAGACATATGGAACCAGTTAATTATGGGGGGCGGGTGCAATAGGCAACATCCGCATAGATGGCAGACGGGGCCCGGTTGCAGAGTGCCAGTAGATTTCGGAACCGGGAGACAATTGTCAACGATGTTCCATGGAATGATCGTGCAAACGCTTCGTGACCGGAAAGGGAGATGGAGGATCAGAGCAGGGGTTCTTAGCCATTCATTTGCCTGGTGTGACTAGCCATTGTTCGGCGACATTGACTGGAGAGGGGGTTCCTTAAACAAAGACGGGTATATGCGGCAGCGTGGATGCTCACCTAGTGCAGCACCTCATTCCTTGATCTCATGACGGGGAAGGCGAGTTTGACATCGAAGTGATGATCATGCGGGCTACGAGCAAAACGTTACTATAGCTATGTTTCTCTGCCGAGACCTTCGTAGCCGTCAGTTATGCATTACAAACCACAGCGAAGACTGACGGACAGGCGGCTCTCCGTGCCATTCGCTCCCATCCTCGAATAGTCGGCACACTGTTCTGTCTCGGTGACAACAGCTCCGTTCTGACGGACGCATTCCTCTTCTGACCCAGCGCCTGGATCGCACTGCTCATGGTCTCCTTGGAGAACGGCCCTGAAGTCTGCAAACGTGAACTGAGGGACACTCGGAGACAGGAACGATACAAGACATGACGATATTGCTCACAGTCAATCGGCGGTGCTCCTGTGGTGAAGTCCTTCCACGTACTGCATCTGCGCACGGCTTCACAGTATACGGTGATGCTGACGCTTCAGAGGTGTCAATACCTTTCTGGATAGACAACGTGCACAATTCACGAGCAGCGACTGCCTGGTCGCCGGTTTGTCCTGCCGACATCGGCTGGCGGAGCGATGGTCCTCAGTCAATCGAAGCTGACCAGCGAGTGAACCGTTGTGCAGCGGCTTTCCGTGAGCGAGTCTGTCAATTCATTCCACCTTGAGGTTCGCGACCGGCGGGGGATAGGGATGTCCGTGTGTGCGAGCCTACGTAACTCCATACCACAGAATTCCGAGCTTCTGATGCAACGACAAGTCCTCGTTTGGTTAGCACTACACGGGACAATGTCGTGGATCCAACTAAGGGTAAAGAGACAGTATAGTACACGTAAAAAGTTAACGGTGGAAACGTTCCGTGTTGTAAGTTTGGCTTACCTCACTTATATCCAACCACACTGTTCGATGGGGTCGTTCGAATGGGCTCAGTGGCCAGACTCAGTGCCAAGGTGGTAATCTTAAGGACAGCTGCCACCAATGCATAACCCGAGCCGCGCATATAGCGGACGGGGCCTGCTACTTCCTTTGGTTAGCGTACAGAGAAGGTCTTCCCAGGTTCTCATATTCTGATAGAATGACGCAGCAGCCAATGGATTTTTTCACAAGTAGCACAACGTACCGACCCACATAGGACACCATGGCGCGTACAATTGAGTTGGTCCTGCCAATCAGCGACCACAACGTGAGGGTCCTTGCCGCTTGAGACACTTTGTGATGAACTCCACCTCTTCTCGCCACTTTACAACCCGAACGGAGCTCCTGGTCCGATTGCATCCGCCGCCCGCAGACAACGTAGGCTTCGTCATTGACATGATATGTCGAAGTAGTTAAGAAGCTAGTCATGTGGGGTGTGATACTTTGGCCTTGGGTGACACGAGAGCGAGTGCTATAAGCCCGCAAGTGTCAAAACTCGGGCGACGTGGGAAGTGAGAAGTGCGGTTCGCATTATGAAATCGCATGGCTTTCATAACACTACATTGATGTGGACAACCTGGTCACCCTCGACACAAACATAGCACCGCCGAAGGCAACTAGTACCGGGCTGCGGCAGCTTGGCACTACAAAGGAGAGGAAGGAAGAAAGGGTCAGGTCAGATGATGGTACATGTATCGGGATGAAGATACTCACAGCCTTCAGCTGCTCGAGATACCAGGAGCAAGCATTGACGTCCGCCGATTCCAGGCACTTCGTGAACTCTGTCATGGGACAATAGTCAGTGACGCTCGGCAGCCGTGACGAGAAGCGTCGGAGATCGGAACGCTTGCTGCCGTAGTGGCTTGTCAAGAACGAAGCTACCAAGGAACCATGCCACTCAAGATACGCTTCCTCGTCCCACGGACAGCTGAGCGCCAACAACACGACGGACGGACGCGCCGCAAGTAACGCAGACTTCGCAAGAGTCCGACGCATTTCCGAGGAGTTGACTGCTTAGTGGTGCAAGGCCCGATCGCGTACACGGGTCTCTGCACCCACGGACACTAGGACTATTGAGAGCATTACTCACCCTTGGCCTGGATGTCACAGCTTATGCCCTGCTGGTACTGCTGCTGCTGCACAGGCGCAGCAGGCGCCTCCGGAGCCGCAGGGGCGGAGTGGGAGCTGCCAAAGAGCATGTTCGAGAGACCGTGACCGATTGTCGAGCCGACGGCGACAGAACCGGCAGTGGCCGCCATCTGAGCGAGCATGCCCGGCTCCTTGGAGGCGGCCTGAGCTTGAGGAGGGACAGGAGGCGCCTGAGATGGGTGGTGCGCGGCGGCGGGGTGGGGGGCGGCAGCAGTGTGTGCGCTACGAGTCTGCTGGGGAGCAGGAGCGGGCGCGGGGCGAGCAGCGGGACGGCTCGAGCGCGACTGACGCTACATATCAAGACGTGTTAGTAGCCTGTATTCTCCGCTCTACTACAAGTCACACTCACAGGCATGGTGGTAAGGATAGATGTTGTGTAGCAGAAGAGAAAAGAGGCTGGGGTGGTGGTGGTGGTAAGCAAGCAAGACGTGCAGACGTCGGCTTCGGCGACAGCGACGCGCACAAATTCAAGCCGAACGGCCACGTGCCTCAGTAGCGCCTCTTTCCGATTGGCTGGAATGCATCGGGAAAGAAGCGCCAGCCTACCCAGGGGTCCGGAATGTGCCGGCGAGCTCTGCTCACTGCTCGACACGGCGACCATGTCCCTCTATGGGTCGCGCAGATGTCTCGACATCGCTGGACGCATCGCTGGGGGCTCTAGCGTACCTGCTCGTACCTGGTCTACTGCCTCATTCACACTGGTCATTCAGCGCCGGTGCTACGCTAACCCTACCGGCGCTCAGAAACTCAAGGAAAGGCCTGCTGTCAATGCGAGTCCACCTCCTTCCACCTCACGGACGTCGGGAAAGGCACAAAAGCCACAGGATGCTGCGAAGGAACCCAAAGAGACGGAACGTACAACCGAGGAGGAGCTTCGGAACGTCGAGACCCTGTATCGGATGTCCGAGACAAATCAGGTCGACGTATCGTCCGCACCTCTTGATCTTCTCGGTATGTGGCATTTCCTGCGTCCATTCTGCGCTCATGTACTTAATGGGGACAGACGTGATCATCCCCTCGTGGAAGTCGCAGAAGGAGAACGCGACTCTCGCCGATCATTGGAGGGCGTTCACGCAGACCCAGAGGAATTGGTTTTGGAATGCACGCTCGTGCGTACCTCCTAGCGAATCCCCGCCTCGCATCTGAGCTTACTCTTTGTGACAGCCTCTATCTGATGGCTCAGACCAACTCAATACCTGGTGTCAAGGTCAAGTCTGCTTGGTCCAGACAGCTATTCTCTACCTCCTCGACAAAACCCGACACGTGGCTCGCACCCTTCCGCCAAGCTGTACTGGAGGTCTATAAGCAGGTCAACGAGGCTGTCGCAACGTGAGTTGCCAATTTCAGGGTTTACTTTCCGTGCGCCCTTCTGATATCATGCAGCCGGGACGAGAAGACTTTGAAGACCTTGACTGCCGGTGAGCAGCAGAAAGCTTACATGAAGCTCATCCGGTCCCAGGACCCACGATTCGCCAATGTCTGGAAATTCCACGGAGAGCGCAGCCCTGCGCAGGTAGTGAGCATCAGGGCGATTGAAGCTTACTATGGGTCGACGCCGCCACGAATGGGCAGCCGGCTTGCAATCCAAGCTGTTGTTCGCTTCGACACTATGCAGGTGCGTTGTCAGAATAAGTAAGCTATAAAATTATTGAACTTTGCGTACACTGACAGAGCGTAGAGTCCTACTCGAAAAAGACTGGCGCTCGCGTTGGCGCAACGGAGCCCAAGCCTGTTGTCGAGTATCTCGTCTTCCAAAAGCGAATGTGGTATGACTCACCTTGGATAATCAGAGATAGACTCTACGAGGGTCTAGACTCGCGATTGAAGAAACCGCAGATATAATATACTCATTGTCTAACTTCATCGTCTCCCGCCCGGACTCTTGTGCCATCCTCACCGCGTCTGCTTTGATGTAACGTTTCGCTCGGCCCTGCCGTGGGCTTCGCGATCAGCGCTCGCCATACTTTGCTTCCGGCCCTTCGCCGGCCTTCCTAATTATGACGGTCATCGTAGGCCATGGTGGTTTTTCGGCTGACTGCGTGATGCGGTTTGGTTTGTGCTTTAACTGATGTGAAGACTCGATCACGTGCCATGTTTATGTTCGCCTCGCCTCATAAGTTGTGGCGGGGTTCAGCCTTTAGCGGCGAACATATGTCCCCAGCCTCTCAATCGCGCCCGGCATATATAACGCTGATCACTTCTGGCGCCCTGCCCGCAGCTCTCAACCACCAACCACACGGTAAGCATCTCCGACACTATAGAATTCGCGCACATCCTGCTAATGCCGAACATCTTCCGCCAGCCGAGTACAAGAACACCTCACCCACCAACCAACCCTGCCCCGGTCGACTGCATAATATGTTGTACCTAGTACAGCAAGGCATGACTGGGCGGCGCGGTTTCCATGTGCACAGAGCCGGTTCGTACGAGGGCGTACTAGTATGCCTATCGGCGGGCCTCTGCGGAAGCCTGTCCTCCGCGTACAAGTGCGTCAACGTCAACGGGGGCAGGTGGCCGCGGCTGGGCGGATTGGAGACGGAGGATAGACGGTCGATTGGCGTAGCTTAGACCCTATCCTGCACTTGCCCCCGGACAATCTGGAGACAGGTTGGAAGGAGGCTTGGCGCGTACGGGGTAGGGTGGCGCAACCGACTGTTGCCCATTCGTAGTTCGTGAGTGTCGTTGTTTCTCTAATTTTGTTTCCGTCTCTTTGCTTTGTTTGGAACTCAAATGCGAAAGCGCTACAAATGAGAGTGGATGCGATGGTGACGGGCTAGCAGGCGGTCATCAGTGTGGCGGGACGATGTTCTCATGGTTCTTCGTGCTCTACTTACCTCCTTGCTTCCATCTTTGCAGGCCCTTGCAATACGCCAATGTTAATCGAAAGCAGTGACAAACGGCACGAGGTCGACAGTGAGAACGCTGGTATCTCGAAAGATGAGTGACTGGCGTTTGGTTTCGGCTTTCATTTCTCTGCGTCCTGCGCTCCTTGGTTATCATTGCTCCCTTCTCGTCTTCACCCCACTCCCTTGCATCCCCTACCCAGGCCCTATTTTTTTCTTCTTGGCCTCTTCCTCTCCCCCCTTCACATTCTCTTTCGTCGACTCCCTTAGACGTCGGTCTCAGGTGGTTCGGCGGAAGGCAAGGCGAAGAGGCGTGCCCTTCTCTCTTCTCACTAGGTAATCGTTACCTCCGCAGGCTAAACTTATTTCGTCACAATCCGGCCAGCGCTTTCGGGGGATAGTGGCTGTACTCATAGAACTTCTCTGAAGACCATGGCAGGCAGGCATCCTCTGGTTCCAGGTACACGCAACAGCTTCATCTGCGGATTCTCTACCTTGGATACTGTCACTCTATCAGCCATATATGCTTTAACCCGCATATCTTCTGCGCGCCCCGTCGATTCGTCGTGCACGCCACCGACGGAGCTGCAGTGCGTCTGTCGGCGTCTGTCCAACCTCGCCAACTCGAACACGCACCTTTCCGGTGCGCTGCCCACGCGCAGGCGGTGCGGCTCAGGCCAGCTCTTGTCTCTTCCCGGCTTCTGCCCTGCTTCTTGGAGTTCGACCACTACAAACGTCGAGGCGACCCGGCCCACTCCCACAAAAGCCTGCGGTGGGGGCATACTCCAGTCTGGACTACAAAACATTATCCTTTGAACGACCGTGTCCCTCCCACCTGCTACGATGACGTCAGCTTCACTGGTCGGCTCCTATGTCGTGCTACAGATAAATGCGAGGGCAATGGTGGCCGAGTACGCGGACTCGCCCATACTCGCCCTCGCGAAGGCTCTGGGCACCCAGAAGTACGTTGCGCTCGTCGAAAAGGTACGCTCCACAGTCCCTCTCTCACACTGAATACCATCCGAACTTCTGTTCTGCTCTGCTGGGAACTCTAGGAAGTCCGCGTCGCCTCGTGTTCGGATGAACCGATGTGGCGCGTGTACCGCGTGTCCTTCGTCGGCCGCCACCCCCGCCTGCGCCCGGGGCTGTCTGGATCTAGCTCACCCTCGCCCGACGGGTGCCTCCCTATCTACCCTGCAACTCCGTCATGCCACGAGACGGCGTACGCCCCCGTCCATCCCTCCAAGGCGTTCCCAAAAGGCGACTGCTGTCACCGCCCCGAGCTCGAGACGTTCATCCGCGTCCACCGACAGCCGCATCACGTCCCACCACAATGGAGGCTCTCCGACGAACAGATCGCGCGCGTTACCGCGATGCGGGAAAGCGCTGACCCCAGCATCACCGGATCAGAGGCGTCGTACGTCCAGGTGCGCTCGGACGAGACAGACACCACAACTAAGCAGCCGATCGCACTGTCCCCGCATAGGAAAGAAACCTTCCCATTCGCGCACCTTATGAGGAACGGAGAAGGAGCGAGTCGTGACAAGCGGCTTCCGCGACTCCCTCTCCCGTCGCCTCTCAGCCCTAGCTTCGCTGGTCGCACCGCTTCGCCTGACGCACAGGTGTTCACGCCGACCTCGCACATCACGAGCACAAGCGCGGCCGAGACATCAGTGTCCGAGCTCTTCGATAGAGCTGAGATGCGCAAGAGGCACGACACGATGGACTCGGGAAGCGTATACTCATCAACCACCGCGTCGACGTCGACGTCGGTTGTCGTGCTGCTCGAGGCGCCGAGCGCGAGCCAGCTCGCGCTGACTCTTGAGTGCGACGCTTACCTGGACGATATCCCGCTCGTCGACGTCAGCTTCGATATCTCCGAGCTCGCCACGATCCCAGACCCGGCGGAGTTCCTCGAAGAGCGCAACGTCGTTGCACAGTGAGTTCCCCCCCCCCTTGTCTCGTTCAGGCTGCATCCGACTGACACCGGCACCCCCCACAGACTAGTCCGCAAAGCGGAGACACGAGAACGCAACTCGCCCGCGCCCTCTATCCACACCGCAGACGCGCGCAGCGCGTTCGACGTCGAGTCCCGCCGACCCAGCCTCTCCCGCTGCCAGTCATACCGGTCGCAGACCCAGCGCACGGTCACCTCCCGCGCAGCTTCACCGCTCGCCGCCCCACCGATCCCACCACTCCCGCCGATCCCAGCAGGCCCAGCGAAGTTGCGTAAATCCCGCTCGCGCGCGTCGTACAAGCAGATCCGCGCCGATGCGCGTTCTATACGCTCCGAAAGGATCTCTCGGAAGAACTCGTCCGACGGGTCGCGATCGGATACGGTAAAGGAATTTGGTGAGGGGAGGGAGCGCAAGAGAGGTGACTCCTTCAACTCCTATTCTGTCCTTTCCTATCCAGGCGACGCTCATGGCGTTGCCTTGACAGAGAGGACGCTCGTCGAGTGGCTCGCTGCGTTCGCGGAGAAGCCGGTGATCATATTCAGGAGGCCTGCCCGGGCTGTTAGGCGATGGGTGCGGTGCATAGTGCTAAGGAGCCGCAGGGGGGACAAAGCGAGGGCGAAGTTGTCGTATCAGCTTGGAGAGGATTCTGGCTTGCACAAGTGAACGCAGAGTGCAATGGACTTGCCTTCATCTTGGATATTGTACCATCTCACATGTGTGCTTGCACGTTTGCTCGTTGTATCTATTAGCATCTGACCTTGCATGTCCTGACGCACACCAGTAGATGAATCATGGACGACTCTTGGCACGCTCATTCCGCCAACAGCATGCAGATCTAACGACGGAGGCAACACTAGAAAACCCAACAAGAAAGCTGCAAAACAGCATGTACGCGCTAGTAGTACGACAGCAAGGAGAGCACAATTCAGAGCAAGAAGACAGTGCAACACGATCACATCACAATGCCTAACAGCGTCATTCCAGCGTCAAGTCGATGACATCGCCAGGTTCGTGCTGTATCGCGGTTCGAGAACCTGCTTCGCGCTTCACGACAGGCTGTCCAGGCGATGAGACCGTCAACTCTACGAGCACAGCGGCAACGCGCGCCCTTGCACTCACTTCCTCCTCTTCATCACTCGAGAGCTCTATGACCTCTGTATGCACAAAGCCAAACCCTGCTCCAGAGCCCGATTCAAGTTTCACAGGCTTTCGGTCTTCCTCGCCCATAGTCATTGACCTCCTCAAACCGTAGATCGGAGGGCTCGCGGCGCGCGCTTTGGCCTTATTGCCCAAGCCTGACCCAGCAGCGACCCTGGGCATGATGTCCTGCGCCTGAAGGATCGCTACACACCAAGCAAGCACATTGAGGACACCACGAGAACGGAGAAGGGGCGGGGCACACCTGCAGGCCTGTACCGGAACACAAATTTCGCGCACGGCCCCGCCCGCCTGTCCAGCGGCACGCTCTTCACGCGGCTGTGGTCCGCCTTGGGGTAGCGCACCGCGCGTCCGAGCCTGTCGTCGATCCGCACCCCAGTCAGGACGCAGCACATACGCCGAGCCAGCCTAGCAGAGATCGGGATGAGATAGGGCACTCACTCGACGCAGTGCGCCCCTGCCTTCTTGCTCCGCTCGTGCACGGGCCCCGTGCCTGCAAAGCCCGCGGGCCTGAACGCGGTCTGGATGACGTGCGGGTGGACGTGCACGACGTGCAGCTCAATTGAGCCGAGCTTGTCCGGTATGCCTGCGCCCCAGAGCGCGTCGTCATCGTCTGCAAGCGTCCATGATGCGGGAATGAGCTGGGACTCGGGATGCGGGGAGGACTTGAGCTTTGGGGAGAGACGGGCGAGAGGACGCACCGGTGGTCTGCAGGTTGGCGAACTGGAAGGGCTGGTACGTGTCCGCGGACGTCGTGGATATCCCTAGACGTTTCCCAACGACACCCGGGGGACAGCGGGTCTTGCCCACGACGTGGCCATCCACGAAGATCTTCATGCTCGCATGGGGGGCGTATGCGCCGTTGTGGTCTTTCCATCGGATTTGGAATTCCTAAGATGCAAGGCTATACTCAGCTCGCCAGGTACGTTATGGCGTCCGTCCAAGGTGTAGAGACTGGTGTAGCGGGCATGGACTCTGTACGTACCTTGCCACTCTCACTAGGAATATAGCATGCAATCGTCTTCCCGTCCTCGCCCTCGTACTTGACGTCGTACTCGGGTATGCGTTCCTTTTGGCCATCAGAAATCCAGACCTCGTATCCAATATGCAGCATCGTCTAAGGCAACAAAAACAGTGTCGAGATATAAGTACAGTTCGTCGTAGTCGGAGAAGCGTTCAGAGTAATTAGGCACTGGCCCAACGCTGCTTCAGTACTTCAGTCCTGGTGCCACTCGGAGAAACCCCGGACATTGCATAGCGTACGCGTGTATGTATGTGCTGACCGCGGACGCGTGACGCAGCGCGCCGGCTAGCATCAGTGCATGTGTAATATCGAACGCCTCGGACGAGAACTATGATGACATATGCTTGATAGTAGTACAGAATCCAAACCCTGCAATCCAGATAGTCCGATATCCCGAGCGCGCCCCGGGCATCATACAAAGCACCACTCAACGACCGCAAACCAATCCTCTCTCCCTCCCCCACACATATCAATCCACATCGCTCACCTTGCCCTTCTCCCCGGCCCCGACCGAGTCCTCGTCGCCTTCCGCAGGCTCGATAACGACGCACCACAGCACGCGCCCCCAAGCCCTCTCCGGGGTACGCTCGCTCTTGTTCAGCCGCTCGCAGCACACGAAGCGCACTGGCTGGCCATCCCAGTACTTCGTCATCTCGATCGAGATGCCCCCCGGCAGGCGGAGCATGATGCCGTCCGGACTGAACTGGAGGAAGTCGTAGCAGAAGTCCGTCGTGACGACGTCCTACACAGGTGCACCACAGTGAGTTCTCTCACCGCCCGGCAGATCGAGGAATGGAGAGACGTACATCGGGCCCGAGAACGACTTCCTGCCTCCGGAGCGCGTTCGTGAAGTACGACCGTCGCTTCGACGGGCTGTCCTTCAGCTTCCCACCCTTGCCGCTGCTGTTCGTCGCCGTCGGGATCGTCTGCAGCTGCGACGTGTCGTCGTTGATGGGTGCATGAGGAGGCGGGAACGCCGGGGCGGGGCCGCTATCAGTGGCGCGGGCGTGGTGGAAGTACGGCATGGTCGCGATGAGCGGAGAGAGGGCCCACGGCCTTGTGCGAGAGGCGAGGTCATTCTCGAGCGTTGGGTCGATGAAGCTACATACGCATTGTGTTGAGGTTATAGGACGGGCATGCACAGAAGAGAGGTGCGTACTTCATGAACCTGAGCGCAGCGCTGAACACCCACGGCAGCTTCAGCGGCCTATCGAAGATGTTCCCGAACAGGAGTTCGTCTGCGTTATACCCGTTCAAGTACCTTCCTGCCCCCATAAACGTATGTCAGCGCCTTGAGCCCTCACTGTGCATGATCTCCTCGTTCGCCGCTCGCGCGACCCCAACAAGGCAGTGCCAGCTCACCTTGGACCTGGATGCTCCAAGTGACCCCGCTGCGCTTCTTGAAGTACTCGCTGTCCGTCACCCTCCCCTCCGCATCTGCGAAGCCCTTGATGTAAATCGCGACCTGGCCCTCGAACGCGTCCGACGAGATCCTGGCCGGCTTCCCCGAGTTCGCCTGGATGGGGAAGAGCTCGTCGGGCGATGGTCCTGCGAGCACTCTGAGACGTGGCATCCTGTCTATGGTCTTGTCTGTTTTGTCGGTTTCTGTGTTATCTGTTGTCCCTGGAGCCGTAGTCTCTCGACTGAAATGGAAACCTAGTGTCGTCGTCTAGCGTAGTCGTTGGCGAAGAAACAAGATGGGTCGTGAATGCGAGAGAGAGGCGTTTACGTAGGCCTGCTACGCTCGCACGGTTGGCGTCCAAGAATACGCAGTAGGGGGGCGGTGGCTGGCAGTGGGAGGGCGAGTAGACTGCGCAGCAGGTCCCTTTCTGGCCACCGCAAGCCGCGTCGGGAGGCGTCGGCAATTGCCGTGCTTCTACGACCTTGGATCTGAACAGAGTGGAGATTGGCAGCGCTGGCCTAAGCGATGAGGCGCGCGTCCAAGCGCCAGGACCTCGCATAGACCAGATGGCGAGCATCTCCAAGAGATAACATCGGCTATCGTGCTCCTGCTCTTGATCTCACCTGCGTAGCTGATAGCGGCGGTCCCTCATTGTATCTGCTTCTCCTTGCTAACCGCTGGTCCGATTACCTCAAAACAACGTGTGTACAATACTCATGTACGCAGCGAAGAAAATGTTTGGTCCAGATTTTGGCGAAAGTGCGCGCACTTTGATGAAAACACATCTTAAAAAAACTATACCAAAGACTTCAAGCCCCCAAAGCATACAAATGGATTGGTGTATTTCGTTTTGCAGGCAATAGGGTATGGACCATGCTATTAGACAATCCATGGAGGCAACCAAGGACAGCGGACAGCCTAAGCGCGCAAGCCAGAAGAAACAGTTTCCAAAAAAGGCATCTTGATCGTCCACTACCACGATGGCTCTGACACGCCATTCTTCCGCTCAGAAAGCTCACTCTGCAAGTCAGATGTGAAGAATTAGTGACAGGCGACTAGCAAAGGAGAAATATCAGCCTTACCACATTCCTCCTCCCATCCGGACATATTCTGGGCTGCCTCATAGCTCTACATCTGACACCCATCCTAATGCCCAGCAGCTCAAGACAAGCAGCACAAAGTGGCGATAAAGTTTGACGTTCCCACCCGCAGCATGCGGCTATACTTAGTAACATAACGGAATGTCAGTAACCCTAATAGGCCTGCCATCTATCCTGCCCCAACTTACAGCCTGAAAGCACCTCAGAAAGGACGATTTGACATTGTACCACTGAAGGACCATGTTGGGCTCATAAATTCAATCGCAATTGTGTCGCTTAGATGATAATGCAGCCAAGATAATCAGAATCGGACAAATCTCGATATAGCGGCGAGCGTCTCTATCACATGTCCGACCTGAACATCGGCTAGCGGGCGCTGCCAATCTCCAAACAGAGCATGAGCATATCTGGCCGCGAGGAAGGCGGGCAGGAGAGAACTGATTCCTAGGTCTATAGCCCATTCACATAGCAAAAGCATTCGCCGGAGGCCCAAAAGATTGCTGAGTTCTGTCAGTCAAGGAGGTCGATAGCCGTATATTGTGCCTTGAAAGTTCCAGGTGGATTTTCCCACAAGTTGTTGCCGGGGCGCGCGTTCACTTAAACCACATACATACTACATAGAGCTTTGCCCCACGGTCGTGAGTGGCCGCAGCTCTCTGTCACAGCAGATGGTCGACGGACAGACTGCGGGCTCCGGCGCAGCGAGGAGTAGACAATAGACTATATCAACAGCAGACAATAAACTATATCAACAAGATGACTATGTAGTACAGAAGACCACAATACGCTCGCCGGCAAGCTACTGGGAAGGAGATGAGTGCTTGGCATGAGATGACCGAAGGTGACATAGAGATGGTGGTACATAGCTGGATTCTGACGAAGGCAAACTCCTGACAGCAGAGTCGACTCATGTGGCGGTATCGTTGTCCTGCACCATGCGTTGGGAAACTCAACATCAGCATCAATCTCACTAGGTATCGGTCAACGTACGACTCGGTGGTGGGCCATCATAGTCTTGAGATTATCAAGACATCTGAAGGCATGGTCTTCCAGCTTGCTTTCGTAATCCAGGTGAGCAAAGCCGCTGCCAATCCGTACATTCGCAGCTGCCGTCAAGGCGTTCTCCAGTGTGGTCGTCAACTCCTCGGGTATCACCGCGCAGCCGCGTGGATCATAGCAAAGATCATGGAAAGGTGGCCACATGAGCAGGCCTTGGAGTAGTTCCCGGGTCATCGAGTATCGAAGGTGACTCGGCCCATCGATCCTGAATGATCCTAGGACGTGCCACCAGTCCAGGCTGTGCCAGTGATCCTCAAATTTCGACAACATCTGTAAAAACCACCTTTGCAAATTACACCTATTCAGTACAGATTAGCTCTTAATAGACACAGTAGATGAATAGTGAAAAATAGTGCAAAATCGAGAGGTCCCCAAAAATAATTGCACTATTTTGCACTATTTATGCAAATTTGTGCAAAGTAGCACTATAGTAGACGGAAATAGTGCTACAGTAGACATTGATAGTAGTGGATAGAGTGGGTCCATAATTTCTGACTAGTGTAGAAATGCTTAATATGACCTCAAAACCATCTGTTTATAAGCCCCAGATGCATTTAAAGTGCTGAAAAAATATTATAAAAAGTGTCCTCACCCAGTCTTGAACCCCCAACCCCACTTTCAGATAACACTCCTATTCCGAAGGGGTGCTCTATACAACTGTACCACCAGAGCTTATATAGATCTTCTCCACAAATACTATATATATCCATCACTGCTGGACTTGGGGCAAAGTGGTGACACCTCACCTTGAGATTCACCTGCTGAGGCTTGCATATGTGTAATGTCTGGGACTATGTATATAATATGGAGTGTGCTATAGAGTATGCTTCATGGTCTGAATGCTGTGCTGACAGCCTAGTCCTATACATGATAACAAGTTCTATGTTGAGTTGTGCCCTCAAATATAAGTCAGCTATCATGGTGATTTTGCAGCTATAGAGGTGTGTAATGCTTGAGTTGAGAACTATGAGCTATAAATAAAGGATTGTCATCTTATTTGAGTCTCCCCTTGTTGAACCCGGGGGGCGAAGGCCTCTCCCACGGGTGGCAACGACAGCGGATAGCCTGCAACTCACCTAGAAGGGTTGTTGGTTGTAAGAGGCTTGTTAGAGCGATGAGAGGAGATGTTCGAGTGAACTGAAC